CTGTCTTGAAGCTTGAAAACTCAAAAATGTTTCTCTACATTACAATTTATAAATTTCAATATTAGTTACATAAAATATTAAAATTTTAACAATTTATGTATTATTTGATTACATTACATTTTTATAATTGTTTGCATATATTTTAGAGGTTCTTACTAAGTTCTGCTGCTTCTACTTTATTTTGTGCTAAATTTGCTAAAGAAAAAAATCAATTTACTCAAAGCAAACATGTAATTTACATTGAATAAATGTACAGATGTTATGAAATTTGATTTGATTACATTTAATAGCCCATATTGGCTGGAAAGACTTAGGTCGATAGCCCTTTGGTTGCATTGTAAGTAATAATTATTATTATATGAGCTATAATATATTTTTGTTAAAAAAAAACAAATTTTTGATATTGGATAATTTTCTAAGAATAAAAAAAAATCTATTTGTCTGTATTTTTTTCTACAAAAGTGAAAGTAATTAATGAAAATTATATAAGAAGAATGGTACTGTATGTACATAAGTGTTAAATGTTCTGATTTTGTACAATTATCATAGAATTTTTACAAATCTATACTTTTTATCAACAAAACTTATTGATGGAAATTATATAAAAAGTACTCCAACATATTTTTGTTATTTTCATAAACTTACTTCTATTTTATACTTACTACTAATTAGATCTTGTACCATTTTCATAGAAATGATAGAAATTAAATAACATATTTTAAATAAATAAATAAAAAAAAATCTGATTTTGTAACATTTTTCGTAGAATTTTTACAAATCCAAACAAATTATACTTTTTATATGATAATATAAAAAAAGATTAATGGGAAATAAGAAAAATTTTAAGAAAATGTGCACGTTAATTATATTATGTATACATTACTTAGTGCAATAGAGGTGGTTTTTAACAACATAATTTTTCTGTTGGTTATTGATGACTTTTTTATCAATTGTAAATAAGTAATATGTTCAGAAAATGTGAATGTTAAATGTAATATTTGTGTTGTGCAGTTGATAATTATTAAAATAAATATAAATTTGACTGATTTCATTTTTTACTGAAATTGAGGTATGCATATTAGGTGGTCTTTAGCAACATCATTACATATTGATTACAAAGAAATAAGTTAAATATTTGTGCTTGATTTAGTTGGAGGATGGTTCGAAATGGGCCGTGTAGCGTATATTTACAAAGATTGATCCCTAAATATTTGTGAGTGTAAATTGGGCGAGACCTGTGACATTCTAATTCCCGGTCTCTCCGCTGCACGTGTGTAAATCGAGTAGTTTGAGTTGTGTGAAGAAGGTGATGTGGATGATGGGAATAATAAGGAACTTGGCTTGGAAATCCACGTTGTTTGGACATCGAGCATAATATAAGGGGCGATAACTCGATAAGCTGACAATGAAATTGTGAAAGAGAAGAGAGAAAGAGAGAGAACTGAAAGGAATTGAAAAAGCGAGGTTGGAGGAAGAGGAGGAGGAGGAGGAGGGTTGGAATTGAAGTCGTAGGCAGAGGCAGTTCGGGGCACGTTTAAAACGCGATATTCAATTAAAACGAATGAGTGGTTGGGATCGGAGGAAGGATAATAAAGGGGCGTTGCATCCATGCACGGACACACACACATATTTCATTGCTTCATCTTCGGTAACGACCGGGTTTTAATGCTACCTTAAGCTCCAGAAACCACCCATCGAAACAACAAACGTTTGACACCTGATTACGTAAATGACATGGAATTATCCAGCAAGAAGAGAAGAGAGACGAGATGATGACCACGATGATAATGATGATAATAATAATAAAGTGCGATCATTATCCGGGCATTCCGAGAATGTTTCAACATCTTCGTTGTTATTAGTTTCGTTTTTTCCCTCAATCTACACGTCCACAGCTTCCTCTATTTGGTCACCGAATTATGTACGCGAGGCGCTAAAAGCTCGTTCATATGTGCCGGATCACTTAGACCTTGTACACCTACAGCAGCAGTAGCATCCACATTTCCACCGGATATTTCGCAATTGTTTTACCGAATTTCGGACGCTAATTAATCCGATCTCGCACTAATGAATCCATTCCGATTTGTTCGGCGCTAATTCGCTCATGCAAACTGCGAACATCAAAAAGCCCATCATCGCGAAAATTGGTCGTATTGAATAGTCCAAAACACTCTAATTATGAGTAAACGTCGAAACTCGATTCGTCACAACAATTCCGTCGATTTCTAAATTAAAAAAAAAAACGCATTATATTATAGAAATTTAATTCAATAGTTATAATCATTGATGATCAATGGAAATTGTATTTTTTTTTATTATCAAACTCATTTTTTTATTTCATTGAATTATATCATGGAATAGAATAATAAGTAAAAATTGGTGATATTTTTAACAATTCAATTAGAAATATTCTAATTATAAGCAAACGTCAATTGATAAAAACGTTTAATTATCAAAATTATAGTTTTTTTCATTATTGTTCATTTTATTTCATTCAAATTAAATTGTATTGTGATTTTAATTAAATAATATAAATATTTATTGATTCAATAAAACATACATATCTTGATATTATATGAAACATTGTAGGTCAAAAGTTCATTCAGTCTTATTACGTTATTATTAAATAAAATCTAATATGTTTTTATATTAATTCATTACAATACATATTTATTCTGGTTATCATAGAAATATTGGATACGTTTCTCAGTGTTATATAATAAAACTATGTTTTGTATACAAAGAATGAACTTTAATCAATTATAATTTTTCTGTTTTGTTTGATGACTTTTTGTCATCTTTCTGACAACTCCATGTTTCTGCGTCCATAGAACTTTTTATCAACAAAAAACTGAACGTTTTGGTGAAAGTGTTGCCATTCAAATAGTTTTGCAAAATGAAAAAAATGGTAATCTTATGATACAACATCATTTTCCAATTAAGTTCCAATATTTTATCACAAGTTACCAAAGATGTGTGAAACAGGATTTGCCAATTCTGTCCATTTTTCTTTGATTGCTTCCTACAGTTTCACTAATTATTGATAGTAAGCATCTGAATTGATCGTTTGATTCCTTGGATTAAGTTCAAAATACACAAAAACTTTATATTTCTACCAAATTGATAGAATGATCAGCTTTCGACGAACTATTTTTCATAACTAGTGATGATTTCTTTAAAAAATGTGACGATTTCATTGATTTTGAGATGGATATTGCAAATATTGATTCGTTGTATTAAGTGAATCTTTTTCAATTATGACTTCAGTATTTAAGCAAATTCTGACAATTGCTGTTAAACAATTAACATTATAAACTTGCTTTGTGAGCGTCAGCAGTTTGCTTGTCTTTACAGAAATTAAAAAGTAAAATTTGTCGAAATTGTTCATTTTTGTAGGAGCGCAAAATTGAGTCTGAACTAACAGCTGCAAACAAAATTATGTGAAATTAGCATAACTTAACATTGACAGAAGTTCTTCAAAACTAACATAACTATTTTTATGAAATCCCAATTGTAACAAAAAAAATAATTATTAATTAAATGTTCATACTTTTAACTTTTTAATTAATTAAATATATTTTTTTATTGAGCTATTGTTTTTGCTTTTACAATTATATTTTTTTTTTCAATATAATAAATAAAATTGTATACTTACCATTATTGTTTACTTACCATTTTATATCATATTTTATGGGAACATTTATAAGAAATTAAAAATGAACATTAATTTGCCATGAAAATCTATATTTAAACTCAGACAACTTATCGATTTTCTTTCAAATTATTTTCTTTAAAACAAAACAAACCTCTTGTATATTTGTACCCTAGAACTATATCAATTGAATCAGAATTACCTAAAGCTAACGCCAAAAAAAAAACAATTTGGAAACTGTGAAGGGAAATTTGAATACAAAATAAATAATGAAAACTCGCCAATATATCTTTGATATTTTATAGTTTTTTTTCTCTTTATATGTAAAAGCAAATATTTTCTTCAATAATACAACCTAATTGCACCCTCCAAAAAAAAAAACAGAACAATATAATAAAGAAATAATAAGAACAATTAAAAAATAAAAAGATCACAAAAGAAAGAAAAAATAATAACAACAATAAAAACTAAACAATAAATTTTTGTTTTAGCTTGATTTTTTTTTCTCTCTTCTTCTCGCATTAGTCGATGAACCTCCACGACCTTTGCCATCGTCAATCTATCTAAACTCACGCCTCAATTCTACATTGTTTACTTATACATGTATATACGTTTTTTTTTTGCCGCATTATTATTTAATTGTTTATCATCCTTATCATACATATTACATAATATTATATCCATATACATATATATTTATATCTTTACATAACATTACGATACATCCTATGTGTTTTTATTTTTATTTTAGTTTTTTTTTGTTTTGTTTAGCTAGAGATAAAAATGTATTCAACAAATTGCAATCAGAGAGAGTGCGCGAACCGACCTGTAAACGTCGGGGCATAGGAACAGCAAAGAAAAAAAATAATAATTAAGAATATAATAAGGATTTTTTTTTTATATATATTTTATATATAAAATAAAAGGTAACAGGAACCGCAATACCTGAAATTTCCGAATATTCCGGATTGTTTTCAAAGATGCGCTTCTCATAATGAACGAAAAAAATAAGCATGTGATAATAAATAAATGTCAATGTACACCTTCTTTAAGGGCATTCGGATGACACCGTCACGATTTGTGGCGGTGTTATCAGAAGGTTGAAGAAAAACCTTCAGTTTCGGTGGAGTTTCCACTGAAATTGAAGGTTTGTCGGTGGTGCCATCTTTCAATCACAACGATTAACAATTTGTACATTAAAACGTAATGAGTTAAAGTGTGTGTTGGGGGGGGAGGGAAAACTTAAAACTTCTGATAATATTTACATATTTATACAATTAAATATATATATAATCCTCCTGCTAATCCAGTTTCATCTTTCTCTATTTATTTTTACTTTTTTTTTTGATTTGATTTGATTAAGTAATTCTCGTATGCACGAATAATTAATTTTATCCGATTATTATTGCAACGTTTTAAATTTGAGAAATGAGAGTGGAAACGACGAGTAAATAAAGTAAATAATAATAATAATAATGTGTGTAGATTGTGGGATAAGATACGAGACTTAATACTGCTAATGAACTCAGATTCGTCGAAGGTTAAAGTAACTCTCTTTGCTAAGTGGAAGATGTTTAAAAACGTTCATATTCACAATCGGTCAGGTCAAAAGATGACGGTCAGAGGTCGCCGGAACTCGGCCCCAGGGCTCTGCGCCGGGTACTGACTCGCATACTGACTCATCGGTAGAAGACCGGGCATCGTGGATCCTTGTTGGACACCTGGTGTCGGGTAGTAGCTAGGCAACGCGCCTGGAGACGCCCCAGCTGAAGATGTTGTCGTTGAGCTGCTCGTCGATGCTGCGTCTTGCCTCTCCAGATGCGGCTTCGGCTCCGGAGATTCGGATCCTCTGGGTGATCCCATGTTGGGTGCGCACTGCTGTGATTCTGAGTACACCTTGCCGATGTCTAAACCTGGATACGCTCTCGATGCTGATTCTGGATTGTATTTACCGTCCATGTACATCTTCGATGACTCCAAGTAGGCTTTGGTCAGGGCTGTTGTTGAGTCGAGGTATCCTCTCTCGAGGTAGCTCTTCGATGAAGAGTCCATGTACTTGGGATCTGAGTACATGGACATGGCTAGGGTCGAGGGCGGCATGTAAGGCGATCGATACTTGTCTGCCTCCATTGAATATTTCATCGCATCCATCGAACTCACCACCTGCGAAACAAGAAGGAAAACACATCGATATTATAGCGTTCAGTAAACATAATGGTTGTCGGGGAAGTCCCGAAATTGGGTGCAATAATTGCGTTTCGTTTGCCACCAATACCAAAGAACCATACTCCGTTCGTTCCAAAACCAATGTCTCTCTAGTTGTTGTTTCGTTTAAAAGCTCTCTTTCTCGCTCGTTCCGTCTCTTTTCCTCTCTTTTCGTTTTGCCTTTGTGTGCGGATGATATATTGTCACTTTTGTCCTGCAAGGTGCTGCTATCCGGGGCTACACAAAGGCATAACGTATTACACCGGTTCTTTGTGAGACGCAGAGACTTTCCAACCCAAAGCCCTTCTTGCTCGCGCCGTACACTCTAACAAACATTTCTCTCTTTTTATATGTATATTACAGTGTACGCTAACGCCAAAGCCGTGCATTATTTATCGCCTATTTACCTTTTTCCCATGCACTTGTTCCAATATAAATTCAAATCCCGATGCCAGGCCAAATATAGAGACACGCACGAAATATTACCTATTCCACAGACGACTTACACCTCTAACTTTCTCTCTCTCTCACACTCATTCATTCCACCATATACACATGTACACTATAGTATACAGTAAATTGGATTTAGAATTATTAACTGCTTCATCTCCTTTAATTCTAGATCAAATTTATCATTCAATAGATACATTCTTTCATAAAAGTTTATAGCCATTAACATTCACGCATTTCTTAGATAATCAGAGTATTAGATTACATTTTTACGCACTATTAAACATATAATATTTTCAATAAACATAATGTTAATAAATAAACATAATTATCAAACAGAATTTAATTTGTATTAATACAGTTTATCTTTAATTGGAAGCATTAATTAATTAATAAAGTTGTTATCAAACTTCTTGATCAAAATATATGTAAAAGCAAAATTAATTTCTTCCATTGATGCTATTTAATATCAACAAACTTCGACAACTAAATAAAATGAAAACTTGCAACTCCAGAAGGTAAGTTATCAAAACAATTTGATATTGAAATCTAAAAGCAAAATCAAACATTTGATTTTATTGGAAGTTTCCTTTGGGATTGTTGTTTAACTTTCTAAAATTGACAATGTTGTTAAAATATAACAAATCAAAGCTTTTTGATAATTGTTGACATGTCAAAAAAAATTCTAAACTGAAGTTAAAACGAAGCTTGAACTTCAAAAATATAAGAGAATGTAAGTTATTTGAGTATAAAGACTGGAAGCTGAAGAATTTAACTTTCGACTATATTGGAAGCTGCGTTGGAGAAGAAGTCACAATGGGAGGTTAATTAAAACCTCGCATTGAACTGAACGGGCATGTTTTCCTTCTAGATAGATAGATGGATGCGTTTTGTAATTTAGCCGTTCCGTTGTGCTACCAAAAGTTCATTTCCTTCTTAATTTGTGTTTGCTGTGACTAACAAAGTGAGCGGGCGTTTGAATGCGTCTGTGTGAATTAAAGCAGCGGTTTTTATTATCGTTATACACTTATATTTTTTTTTTCTCTCTTCCTTTCTTCAGTTCTTGGTGTGTTTCAATTTGCCCAGTCATTGGACGGTGATCAGTCGTGAATCGGCCATTAGTTATGGACGTTGTGCGACAGGCCAGGTGCTCAATGCTCTCTTCCTCCTTCCTCCTTCGAAACTGTACGTACGTATGTGCATACACTAGTCGCCTTTTTTTTTGTTATTATTATTATTATTTTCGTTCCTCTCCTCCAACATGTATTTATTTTCCTTTCACGAGGAGAAAAGAAAAGTACAGTTGTTCATTTCGTTTTTCTCTGCTCGTTTTTCATTCCCATTCCGAACTGCAAATCGCGCCAACTTGAGTTGGTTAATTTGAGTGGCATTGAAATAAAAAAAAAAGAGGAACGAGGAAACAAGGGAGGAGGAGAATGAGGATTTCTGAATGAAAGAAAAGTGGATGCAATGAATATTATGTAGATGGAAAAAAATGAATCAAGTTAATTTGGGTTTCATTTGCTTGGGACATTTTGAGTGTAATTGCTAGAGCTTAATTCATGAAGTGGTTCTTCAATTTGTTTAGTAGTATTAACAGTTTTGATATTTTTTTGAGGTGATGTGATGTGAGATGGGATCCAATATGTAAATCCATCTGCGTGGCTTTGTGTCGCCCCCTATTGGCACCGGTAGAACAATTTATCCCCGGCTCGTTTGTCATGCAAATGAGGGGGATCCTTCTGCTCGTTGTTGGTTGTTGTTGTTGTAGGTCTTCGGTGTGTGTATATTTTTTCTTATTATTTTGGGTCTCGAGAGGGTGTCGTTTGGAAGAAGATGATGGTGTTGTCACCCGAGAGGCCCGAAGATTATTAAATCAGGATTAGCGGTCTGTTTGTGACGCGGGCGCTGGATCGAAAATGGTGAGGGAGTTTTCGAGGATGAAAGATGAAGAGAAGAATTAAAAGAAGGGGCCCCAGGAGATGACGAGGATGTCGAGGATGAGGAAGAGAAGGAAAGAGAGTGTGAAAAATAGAAAGAAACGAGAATTGATTTGTTGGCCATCCCGTGTGGCTGCTTCAGGAATGTTTTGGAGCTGAGAACAAGGGGCATTAAACAGATGTTCCGCCACCTTTCCCATTCTGTACGATAATATAAAATGTCGGTTTTATCATCGGAATGCGATCCACCGAAAAGACATGGACGCGATTTTCGCTGCCTTCTTCTCCACTCTTCTCTTTTCCTACTACATCATCTTTCTCATCTTCACTCGGTAGCTCAAATCGATGCAGAACCATTTATTCCACCGCATGACTACTTTATACATATCCTTTTGTGCGGAAAGGACGTCGTCCCTGTTTTTCTTTTCGTGTGTTATCAAAAAACCACCACTAATTCTGATATATTGGTTCTTTGCCTCCAACATGCGGACTGCTAATGTGCTTTTTATGTTAATTATATTAACTATCCTCGCCTGCGACCATTCACTTATTCATCCGAAAATAAAAACGTAATAAAAGGACGGACTTTACAGAAGAAAAAGAAAAACGCAAAGAGTGAGAGAAAAATAACGTAATTAAGACATTAATTTATCGCACCCCCAGTACGGAAATTGCGACCAATTAATTTGCACACTTTAATTTATACACTTCTGGCATGAACTTGGATAACGAGACTATCATCAAATCTTTACTCAAACAGACACAAAGCTCAAATTTAATATATTTTGCTCAGTCGGTTTAAATTAGACCAGTTTAGTATAAAATCCTATTTGTAAAAAAAAACTTGATATTTTGTATCACAGTATGAATATAAACCTAATTTACATCATGAAATGATACAATTATTCAAATTGGATTATCCGATCAGATTGTGTGTATTTACATTGAATGAATTAAAAAAAAAAAAGTTTAATTGAATTGAAACTTAATTTATATGATATAAAACGATCCAACTATTCGGATTTGATTCGTTCGTTCGGTTTGTATGGATTTAGTTTAGTGTATATTTACAGTGAAAATCCTGCAATTGGCTTCTCTGAAAGGATCAACAAATTGTGAGTGCTCGAATACTGTTGTTGGGATTCGTTTGTAATTCCATTAGGTTCGAAATCATCGGTTGGAGTGAGGAGGTGGTTGTGAACGAGCATTGGTGGCTTTGAACGACGAAATTGGGGTGAGTGTTTATAAAATTGGTAACTTACTTGAGGCTGTGACGTTAATCCGGCGGAAAGGGCCGTTTGTTGCGCTGCCGCCGCCGCCGCTGCCATCGAACTCAAAGAACCGTAAGCGGCGGATGGATTGTAATACGAAGCCATCGACTGTCCCATACTGGAGGCGGCCATTCCTGAAAATAATATTAAAAAATTATATATAGAAACAAGTAAAAACTAAATCAATACAATTAAAATGATTTAAAAGAAAGAGTAAAAAGTAGCGTAAAATTTAAATATATTGTGGACTCGTGTATAAAACGCATATTTGATTTAATGCTTTTGTTTTAATAATAAACTGTCGTTTATATTAAGAATTCACTAGCACAGTTCAAATTTTGATAAAAACAATCAATCTTAATGTATTTTACTCGAGTATAATACGCATCCCCGTGCGCTTCTACAATATTGGAAGTAACTATTTTGAAAATAAAGTTTTTAATTGTATTGGAGGATAATACGCATTCAAGTTTTGTTCTTCAATATTGATAATTTTATGTTCTAAAATAAGTGAAAATTTCAAAAATATCTGCATAAATTCAAGTATAATACGCATCTAACTTTGTTTCTTCAATTTTATATTTTATTTATATTTTTTGGACAAAAATAAAAAAAAAGAGAAAGAGTAAAAAGTAGCGTAAAATTTAAATATATTGCGCACTCGTGTATAATACGCATACTTGATCTAGTGATTTTGTTTTAATAATAAACTGTCGTTTATATTAAGAATTCACTAGCACACTTCAAATTTTGATAAAAACAATCAATCTTAATGTATTTTACTCGAGTATAATACGCATCCCCGTGCGCTTCTACAATATTGGAAGTAACTATTTTGAAAATAAAGTTTTTAATTGTATTGGAGGATAATACGCATTCAAGTTTTGTTCTTCAATATTGATAATTTTATGTTCTAAACTAAGTGAAAATTTCAAAAATATCTACATATATTCAAGTATAATACGTATCTAACTTTGTTTCTTCAATTTTGACAATAATATTTGTACTCGACTATAATACGCACCCCTTATTTATATTTTTTGGACAAAAATAAGCGCAGCTCTTCTTCAATATTTAATATAACGTTTTTTTTACTCGAATATAATACGCACCAATATTGTGTTTTGTGCAAATTGTGCGCATTATACTCGAGATTTTACGGAAATCACTATTATATTATTTTCGTCGTTGCAAAAGTTTTTAATTAAACGCGATATCCTTTCGATTTTTTGTTGTTGTTGTAGATTAATTGACACTTAATTAAAAAACAAGGATGAATGCGTTTTTCGGTGTTTGCCGTTGAATTTCACGCGTCGCGAATTTACTGCCGCGGTGCCCTTCTTGAAACCAATTAGCGCATTGTAATAAAACAATAAAGGCACGTCGAGGCACAACCCTTCTCTCATTTTTTTTTTGTCTTTACGATTATTTTCAGTGAAATCAATGCCAAGGCAATCTTGATTTACGGCCCGTTTGTTTACAGCGAGGATGAACGTGAATCCTGTTCCTTCTATTTTTTTTTTCTTTCTCTCTTAATTCTTCAAACTCCTTCTTTCTTTATTTCTCTCGCGCATAAAGAGTAGTGTAGTTATATACCGAGGAGGAGTATTTCCACTTTATGGATTTATGGTCGCTCGCAGGATATATTTCACGGGGCCCGAGTGTTTAGGCCTTCTTAATTCGCGAATATGATCGAAAGCCCCCCCGCCGGTCGTGGATACAAAAACCGAATTCCACATGCATCATCATTTATCCTACCTGTTGTGTGTACGCCACCCCTCTCACCTCTCGAAGGACAACCAGGAGGATCAGGTTATCCAACCGGACGGACACCCGAACACACGTGGTGTTGTGATACACTCCTCTCCTCTCTTATTTTCAGTTTGTCTCGCAAATAAACCGCCATTGTTCGCTTTTAGATTAATGTACGTAGATATATAACTTATATACTCTTTTTGTTTTGTAAATACTTCCATTTGGTACAACTTGTACAACAAGCCGACAATAATATTTATTTATTGACCACTTTGTTTGGGATACTCTAATCCAGCTCACGATTCCAGAAGCAAAAAAAAAAAACGCTAACACTTTATTGAGTCATTAGTAAGAGGATCAGATTGCATCCAACTATGGTCATAAAACCATCAGTTTAATTTGAAACATATTTGAAAAATCAATAATTTACATCAATTAAATTGTTTATGTAATCAGTCAACTCAATTAAAGCTACTAATTATGTTTATTCGTTACACCTGTCAAATTAAAAAGTAAGGTTAGGTTATGAAACAGTTATACAACCTAACCTTACTTTTTTGTGACATATTATGCATCTCAAATATGAAAAATCAATAATTTACATCAATTAAATTGTTTATGTAATCAGTCAACTCAATTAAAGCTACTAATTCTGATTATTCGTTACACCTGTTAAATGAAAAAGTAAGGCTTGGTTATGAAACAGTTATGCAACCTAACATTGCATTTTATGACATATTATGCATCTCAAATTTGAAAAATCAATAACATACATCAATTAAATTGTTTATGTAATCAGTCAACTCAATTAAAGCTACTAATTCTGATTATTCGTTACACATGTCGAATGAAAAAGTAAGGTTAGGTTATGAAACAGTTATGAAACCTAACCTTACTTTTTTGTGCATCTCAATGTCATTTAAATGTCAATCAGAAGTACCAACTAAAATTAGTTGCACTTTGATTAGATAATAATAATATTGTTGTTATTGTGTATATACAAATATATACCAAAGAAATTAATAGTTTTCTTATCGAACTTTAAAAAAAAATATCTCTCATAAACAAATTATGGTTTGCTTGGTGCAAACGTCGAGACGTTGGAGACGTTTAAAAGAGAAATAACTTTCAAGTCGCAGCGACAGAGGTGAGAATACCTCAAAGAAATTACCGGTACAGCAAAACCAGAAACTGTCACCATGTCATATCATTAGTGCTCGACGTGTTTTCTTGAACTCAGAATACTACAGTCTTCGGTATTTATTCACTGCACATTCAACGAGGCTGTATTATCAATAGTCATAAATTATCTACGACTTAAATTAATTATTTCCAAAGTTTATTTCAATATTAGTACTGTTATTATATGCATTGATGTTATTAGTTGTATTATTTATTTTTAGATTTAAATAAACATTAAGGTTTGTCAGGAATTCCATACAACTAAATTTAAGTTTTTTTAATATTAATAGTTGGTAATAATTTAATTTAATGTATGCTAGTAGAATTTGTACCAACTAAATAAAAATGAATTCGCTAGGGAATTTTCTAAATATGAATGTGGATGCAGGTAATTCGTAGTTAGTAATATACTAGCAACAAAAGTTGTGTAATGCAAATCAAACGTTTGGGCGTGTAGTTACTTAGAAAACAGCCATAAAAATGAACTGTTATAATTTATGTTCGCATTGGTAATTAATGGCAACGAATATTTCCATGAAGTACAATTAATAAATTAACTGTTCCATTTTCATTAATATATTTTCTTTTAATGGCGTTTTCTTGTTACATTTTCTGTATTTATTTTTGTTGTTGTTGTTCACTATTATATTTCGGATGTCCATAAAGTGTACAACTTTATGTGTGGACAAAAAAAACACAGTAGTAGTAGTATAGTCTGGGCCACGAATATGCAAAGCAGAACAACGCACCTTCATTTCCAACACGAACAACACATGGAAGGATAACGATCGATATTAATTTCGTATTCGAGATATCTCCACTTGCATAAATCATTCCGTGTTTCTTCCGAAGCCACATGAGGATCTGAGCAGACTATCTTGATCACATTATACCACAACATTTACTTACAAATCCAGTTTGTTTTTTGCTACTGTATGATTTTCATTAATGTTATATAAAAAAATACTTATATTTTAATCTAATTTTTAATTTAACAAATAAAAAGTTAAATTTTAATTATTAGTTTCAATTTTGCAAATTTATGTATATTGATGATAATAAAATTCTTGTCTTCAGATATTAATTAATTAATTAATTAAAGTTAATTAACATGTATACATGTAATATTGATACAAATTGTTTAGTTTTTCTTTGTAGATTATTTCCTTAAGTGGAATAGGTATGAATGGACTATTCTAAGGACTACATTGTGATGCTTATTAAGGTCTATTATCCTGTCATATTTTATCCTTTTTCTAAATAATTTGTGGAAAAAGGGACGAATTTCATTCATTCTAGTAATGTTTAACCCTTTAGTTGATGAAATAAAACTTTCGTAAGATTTGTTATGTCGGAACTTAATTATTATTACAGTATGCACATACACATATATTTTATGATTATTTTATCATATTTTATAACGTGTTTCATGGGTATACATATAGATTCGGTGGCAATCGCAAGCCCGACAACCGAAATCCCGATGTTCAAAATCCCGACGTTCAAAATCCCGAGTGTATCGAAATCCCGACGTTCGAAATTCCGGCTGGCTCAAAATCCCGACGTTTCGAAATTCCGACTATATCGAAATCCCGACCATGTCAAAATCCTGACTACCATAATCCCGACTATATCGAAATCCCAACAGTGTCTTTAATTATTATAAATTTTTATAATAACATTTTTATGGTAGTCGGGATTTCAATATAGTCGGGATTATGGTAGTAGGGATTTTGACATAGTCGGGTTTTTTATTGTCGGGATTATGGTAGTCGGGATTTCAAGCGTTGGGATTTTAACACAGCCGGGATTTCGAACGTCGGGATTTCGAAAGTCGGGATTTCAATAGACGGTCTTTCGGTTGTCGGGCTTGCGATATAGACCCATATAGATTATATCGGTTAGGTTAGGCTTGATATGTTGTCAACTACAAAATATATCAAATTTATCAATTCTTTTTGCGTTTATACAGCCGGTTTTGACAATATATTTCAGTTGTTATAGAGTTAAGTATGTAACAATAATTTTTTATATTAATATTGAACATATTTAAGTTTTTTATTTATTTATAATTATATTCTAATTTGTTGTTTTACTAGAAGCATTATAACAATAAAAACTAGTTTCAAAATTTGCAAGTTATGTAAGTTGTTATTTCCTTTGGATTGTTCTCAAGTGGAATAGGTATGAATGAACG